AGGCCTTTATTGATTTTATCTTTTCAAACCACCAGCTTTTAGGTTTATTAATATTCTCTATTGATTTGTTTCACAGTTCATGGATTTTGCTATTATCTTTTATGCTTCTATGCTTATGTCCTTTGCTTTTGTTCCTCAGTCTTGGGTGGAAGCATAGACCACGGGTGATAAACTTTTCCTATTTCTACCATATGGATATTTGACATATGACTTGTTTCTACATTGTGCTTCAGCTTGATTCCATCTCAAGGCTCTTCCTGAATACCTGGTTGTAAATGTTAACACTCACTTTTCAGCACCTCTCATCCCCCTGCTTTTATTACTGGTTCTCACTTATAAATAGCACTTCACACACACTGTTGTATACCATCTATATTCTATCCATCTGGTATGGCTTCCTTTACTCATACCTATTTAATTTTTTAAACTGGTACTTTAGATGGGATATGCATGGATTTTCACAACTTGCATTGTTGCTCACATTAATTTAAAAGATTTTAAGTTTGTATTTATTTAAGAGGCAAAGAGACAGGAATGGAAGGAGAAGGGAAGGAGAGAGAGAGAGAGATGAGAGAATCTGTGGGTTCAGCTTGCAAGTGCCTACAGCTGGCTGAGGCTGGACCGGACACAAGCTGGGAGCTGGAAAGCAATCCTTATCTCGAGGGGAGCTCACAGTCTACTAGCCAGGGCATCTTCACTGCCTCTGCAGAACCCTCATTGTTAGAAAGTTGGAGAGAGAATCTGGGGCCAAATGGAACTCTGGTACTGTAAGGTAAAACATGAGCTTCTGTTATTTTTTAAAAAGTGATTTGCTTATTATTTTGAAAATTATAGAGAGGAAGGGAGAGGCATAGAGAGACAGTGCTTCCATCTCTGGTTCACTCTCTGGACACTCTCAGTGGTCAAGGCTGGACCATGCCAAAGCTGGACCAGGCCAGAGCCTGCGGCTCCATCACGGTCTCCCAATGGCTGCATGTGTCCAAAATAGATACATCCATCTCTGCTAGTTCTCATCGGTTGGCACACAGCTGGTTGTAATAGTTCCTGATAATTCTATGTATGTCCGAGGAGGTAGCTGTTATAATTCTTTTTCGTCTCTGACCCTACTGATTCGCATCTTCTCCCTCTTTTAGTAGGGAATTTATTTTGTTGATTTTCTTGAAGAACCAGCTCTTTGATTCAGTGATGTTATATACTGTTCTTTGGATCTCTATTTTGTTTATTTCCTCCCTTATTTGGGGTATTTCTTTTTTCTTGCTAATCTTGGGATTCCTTTGTTGTACTCTTCATGTTTCTCACTTCTTTTTTAAGATTTATTTATTTTTATTGCAAAGTCAGATATACAAAGAGGAGGAGAGACAGGGAGGAAGATCTTCCATCTGATGATTCACTCCCCAAATGACTGCAACGACCGGTGCTGCGCCGATCTGAAGCCAGGAGACAGGAGCTCTTCCAGGTCTCCCGCACGGGTGCAGGGTCCCAAGGCTTTGGGCCGTCCTCGACTGCATTCTCAAGGTACAAGCAGGGAACTGGATAGGAAGCGGGGACACCGGAATTAGAACTAGCACCCATATGGGATCCTGGTGCATTCAAGTTGAGGACTTTAGCTACTAGACTACTGCACCAGGTCCGAAAAGCTAATTCTTGATCTTGATCTATTTACGTATGACGTCTGTAACTCTCCATTCTTCATTGTATGGTGTCCTTTGCATCTGGGTGCAGGAGCTGGAGCCAGAGGTCAAAGTCAGGCAGTCCAGTGTGGCACACGGGCATGGGAAGTGACATCTCCAGCAGCAGGTCAGAGGCCCGCTTCTGAACAAATCTTACATTTCATACTAATTTGTTATAATTTTATTCTGGTATCATTTGATTTACTTGATGACCCATTGATTTAATTTCTAATTCTTTGGCATTTTTATATACACACATATACACATACAAAAGATGCATATGTGTGCCTATTCTTGAATATTAGAACAGATAAAGGCATCTTACACTGACAGATGTATCATGCAGGATTCACAATTGCTGGATGGATGATGAATTTTGCATTTACTGGTTATAGTTTTGCCATAGGGCAGATGGGGCACCAGCCCTCATCACAAAGCTCAGTAGCTTCCATTGCCTGGCTTACAGGACCACTGCAAAGCTTCCATTTATGTGGCCATGTCTGTGACTTCCTCCGCATTGAAGCCCCTCTCTGGTGGCCGAAGACTTCCGGACTGCCAGGTGTTCACTCCCCAGCCACGTCAAGGCGACTCGTGTTCCGCACGCCTTCGTCTTTCAAGGCGACATGTCCCACCACTCAGGCACTCATTCCTTGGCATGTTCTGAATCCTCCTCTGGGGCTGCTTGGAAGGTTTCTCCCCTTTGTTTTTAATATTCAGATGAACACAGACACTGTTGTCATTGCATTGGTTTGCTTTCTTGGGTTTTAAGGTTGATGTGTTTTATAAAACTGGGAACAATCAAATGACCTATTTTCTCCAATATTTGCTCTGCTGTATTCTCGTTATTTTCATCCAGGGGAGCGTAATCCCATGAATGATGGACTAAATCATGGTGCCTGATGTTTGATCTACTTTTCTTCAAATTTATTTATTTATTTATTTACTTACTTATTATTTTTTAGTTCTTCAGAGCAGATATTATGAGATTTTATTCTGCAATAGCCAAAATATTCATGATTTTTTTTTTCCTTTGCTTAGAGTTACCGCAAGTTTATTTTCAAGTATCTATTATTTCTGCTTTTCTGCTGAGGACTTCTCTGCTCATGCGTTAGCACTCATTACGTCTCCTTTAGGCCTCTGATCATGGCAGTTATTGTCTAACATCCGCCATCCGGGCAGCCTCAAGGCCAGCGCATACTGTAGTTTCTCTTGAATGCGGCACATTTCCCTGTTAGCATGAATACCTACTAAATTTTTAATTGTAGGATGAACACTTGGGTAAAATATTGAAAAGATCGGCATTCCTGGTTTTAAAGAATAAGGGTTTTTATTTGTCTGCTTAGTTCGTTTAAGAGCTGCTTAACCTGAACTGTTGAATTTGAGAAAGGCAGATTCAGGCGCATATAGATTCTCTGTGCCTCTAAATTCAGTGCACAACAGCCTCCAATGCCCAGAGCCTCTTCTGAGAGACCATCGGGGCTTGATGTGGACACTGGGGCAGCAGGGGCATGCAGGCTGTGATGCTGGCATCACTCCAGCACCTGGAATGGCAAATGGCAGGCTGCATGTCAAATGCAGCCTTTGTAATCAAGAGGGTCATTGAAATCAAGCCCACTCGCCTGCCTGTTTTCTGATGGCCGCTTCCACCCTGCACAGGCTGGAGCAAGACTGCAAGCGCTCTTCTCTGACCCTCCTTGCAGGACATCTTCTTCCTCCAGGCACCAGCACTTCGGTAGCTGTGATGAGTTTGTGAGGTTAAGGACCGTGTCTCCTCTTTGCACAGACTAGATCTCCAGCATTGTAGCATGGGGCATGCCTCTGTTCTGGTCTTCACGCCAAAGCATCTGTTCCCTGGCACAGTGCCCTCGCCTTTCTCTGCGCTGTGCAGCAACGCTCCAGCCCATGACTACGAGGAAACCCTCACACAGACTGCTGGAGCCTCGTCCGTTTCCATTCCTCCTCTCCAATGCTCCTCCCTAAAAGCTGATCTCCACCTCTTCAGCCCTGAAGACTAACTGCCGCCCTTTGCTTGTTAGATCTCTGTAAAGTAACATTAGGAAGTGGTTCCCATGGTCAAGAGCCAAGGCAGCTGCAGATATTTCTATGCAGGATCTCCAACATCCAGAAATTACAATTTTTTCATGCCTGGTGCCCTGTTCATGAAAACCACTGCCTTATATTTGTCAGGTTTTATGGCTGTTTACAAGAGGAGAATGAATTCCAAACCAGTTGTTGTGACACAGCCTGAAGTGTAATTCCCACCATTCATAGAAATATTGACTCTGAAATCAATACATCTTTCCAAATTCCCCCCTGCTAAGCTTTTACTACATATGGGCACCTTCCTACTGATTAACTATATAATAACCCACATTGAGTTAGCTCTAATTCAAACTCAAATATTATCTCCCTGTCTCTTTCCTTCCCTCTCAGACTCCTTAACTTTGGTACCCTTTTTCATTCTTGAACTCAGTGGATGTATCAGCAGCTTATGATATATCCATTAAAAGACTGGAATACCAGTTTACAGCAAAACTTTTCATTCATTATTGTAGTACAATGGATACTAATCCTCCCAGCCTTCACCTGTGCTGGGCACCTGAGAATATATTAGCTCTAATGGTAAGAGGCCTTGAGGTGGGATTAGTTAAGGGTCTTGAGGTGAGCAAGTTATCCCGGACAACTCATACGTGCCCAGTGTGACCACGAAGTCTCTACAAAAGGAAGGCATGGCCATCAAGCAGAAGTCAGGGACACACACTTCTGAGGATACTGTGCTATCAACTTTGAAGACGGAGCATGAGCCACAAGCCCAGGAATGCAGGTGATCTGGGAAAGGAAGGAAACTGGGAAGGGGAACGAAAAGAAGTTCCCACTGTCACTTTCATCAGGGCACAACGAAATTGACTTCAGGAGCGCAGGATACATTATTAATACATCCGCAGCCATCTGTCCCAGCATACATAGGAAGCCTATATAATCATCATCTAACTCCCATTAAAACTGCTTCATCTTGGAGCCTTTTATCCTACATCTGACTGTTGCTCTCATCTCAAGTCATGCCCATCTGGCCGCTAACCCCTTCCTGCTGCCATCACTTTACCCTGCAACAACCCCACGCAGCAAGCTCCCTTCTAGCTGAACTTCAGGACGGTATCAAACTAGACTCTAGATTGATAACTCATCATGTGCCTTGTTTCAAATGTTGCAGAGGATCACAGCTTACAAGACAAGGTCAAGACTTCCGAGTTAGTCCACAGCAACTCCCCCCCTCGAGTCCCACTGCTCACCATGCTGAGTCTCTTCAGCTGTCTAGACTGGTGCTGCTGTCCACCCCACACTACAACACGCCATTGATGTACCGTCTCCTCTTTCCCCTGGAGCTTTCAATCAGCACCCAATGAGAGAACGCCTGCATAGAACATGAACAACACATTGACTGACTCTTCTACATTGGATATTCAGACTGACGCAAGTACACAGATAGCCTACACAGTGAAAATATCACTATTTACCCACCCTGGTGATTCTAATACATTCTACTCAGCATTATTAAAAAATAACGCCTTTTTAAAACAAACAAAATAGCCACGTGCAATTACTTCCAGCAGTGCTCATTTGCAGGCCATACCAATTAGTTCAACTGCATGCCATCAAGTTGAATGTGTATGATCCTTGTCTCTACTGACATACTAACCTAAACTCTTATGGAAAAACAATTGTTACGATTTCATGGACTTTTCTCAGTCTGAATCTGGGGGTTAAAGAAACCACTTGGGACACCTCATCCTATCTCGGAGCACCTGGGTTTGAATAATGGCTCTATTCCCAATGCCCGCCAACACATTTGTTGAGTGGTAGGATTTCACAGCTCAAGTACTTGGGTCCAACCCAGCTGTGGTTATTATTGCTGTGGGCATTGGAAAATGGACCAGAACATAAGATCTCCTCTCCTCTCCTCTGCTCTCCTCTCCTTTCGTCTCCTCTCCTTTCGTCTCCTCTCCTCTCCTCTCCTCTCCTCTCCTCTCCTCTCCTCTCCTCCTCTTTCTCCCCCTCTCTCTCTTTTTTTGAGACTTTCAAATAAAATAAATAATGAGAAACACAAGACCTTAGATGTCTTGCAAGTTCTTGTACTACATGGGCGATGTATGAAGAATCTGTATAGCAGCCTGGGATGAGGAAGATCAATGTGGAGAAGACAGCATGGAGCAATGGCCTCTGGATTAAGCTCAGAGTTTGCTCTTAAAAAGAGCTAGAGCAATCACAGGAAAGGGGGAGGAGCAAACAACTGCACATACACACGAAGCACCATGCTGCAATCATCTCTGGAGCAGACTGTGAGTGCAGAGAGGAGGGAAGCCGGACACGCATTTGACAGGGCCTCGAGAATGCAGGACGCAGCACTTCTCTTACAGAAAACAGGGACACTCTTTCATCAAACACACCCTTTAGAGAACAGTGTGTCAGCAGGAAATGAACGGTTGGGGATAGGAGGATTCTTACGAGTCTGAAAACAGGGAAACATACTCAGACCATTTTATAACCGCAAGAATGGATACCAAGACTACGAACGCAGGGAGTGGCAGAGGGGTGCCAAGAAGGGTTGCACTGCAGACATACTTAAGAATTCATACAATATGTTGTGGTTAAAGCACGCGGGCTCTTCATGTGGCTGTAGAATCAATCCCCAGTGTGGCCAGCTCTTAGTCATGCGGTCCAAACAAATCAATGAAACTTGATGAACACAAGGTAGGGATAATAACGCCTACTTAACATTTGTTCACACAAGAAGATGAAGCATAGATTTAAAAATCTGCACAGTTTAAAGATTCATGCAGTTATATATTGGGAAGGAGAGTGACAGAGAGGCAAAGAGAAATAGAAAGGAAGATAACAAGAAAGAAAGTCCTTCCATGTGTCAGTTCAGTCCCTGAATGTCAGTGACAGCCAGGGAGGGACCACACGGACGCCAGAGGCCAGGAACGTGATCCAGTTCTTCCCAGAGATTTTATATATATAATATATATAGATATATCATATGTCAATAGATAGGTTCAGTCCCTGAATGTCAGTGACAGCCAGGCAGGGATCACACAGAAGCCAGGGGCCAGGAACGCAGCCAGTTCCTGGAGAGAGAGAGAGATATGTATAGATGGATAATTCCTAGTGTTCATATTTTAGCTCTGTAAGGAAAGCATCCTTAACCCCTTATTCTCTTTATACCTTTACATAGCTCTGAAAGTTAAAAAAAAAAAGAGCAAACACATCGTTGGGACCTTGCAGGTCTCTGGCATTCTGTGAACATAACACTGCAAGCATCCTGCCAGGCAAGCTGGACTGATACGTGGGGAACATCATCTGTGTACTGGGCCGCTATCTCCTCTACATGTGGCAAATGAAACTCCATGCGCATAGGAGATTCACAAAGACTGAGACTTACAGCTGTTAGAAGGCTCACAAAATGAAACTTTCCCTCCAAGTAGTTTTTTTTTTTACACTTTATTAGAAATATCTAATAAAAGAAAATTCAGATGTGCTTAAATCAAAATGTCAACACTTTTCCATGGGTCTGTGAATGATAGAGTCTGGCACAGAAGCATCGAGATAAATTTTTCAACACCTCAATATATAATATCTTAACTTCGGGTAAGCACAGTTGCATTAGTGAAGAGAGTTTTAGATTTTTAAAAATTACGATGGCTAGTAGTTTTAGGAACCTTGTAATTTACTGCTCCTTAGAATATAGCTTTAAAAGAATAACACTTAACGATGGTTTATGTGGAGAAATAACAGATTCGGGGGTCAGTTCTGTAATTCATAGTGAGTGGATTGCTTACAATTACAAGAGCCCCATTCTTAATTCTAAGCATGCCTCCTGCCGACACGTAGGGGCACAACTACACTTAAGAGGGATCCATGTTCAACTGTAGCTCTCCATCAGGATGTCTGGGTTCTGGCCATCTGTAATTGTTGCCAGGGCCCAACTCCTGCAAGGCTGTCTCCCAAATCACTCAAATGCGTGCACCAACTATCAAACACCAGGCTATCCAGCACCTATTTTCCAAGTGATATTGCATTGAATATTTTAGTTATAACGTTAAAATGATGATGAGCATAGCACTTTGAGATGCCCGTCTATGAAGAGAGCATCATGACACAGTGGGGTAAGCCACGCTCTGTGACACACCAGTATGCCATAGGACCGCTGATTTGAATCTAGGCTACTTCACTTCTGATTCAGCTCCCTGTTAACGTACTTGAGAAAGTCACAGGAAATGGCTCAAGTGTGTGGACCCTGGGCCCACATGATAATCAGATGGAAGCCAAGACTCATTGCAGCCATGTAGAGGGCAAATTAGCAGATGTTGGATCTCTCTCTCTCTCTCTCTCTCTCTCTCTCTCTCTCTCTTTAGGCATCTCTCCTACCCCTGCAACTCTGCCTTTCAAATTTATAATAAATACATTTAAAGAAGAAATGGCAATACTCTTCATTAGCAGTTTCTATTTCTTTTAGATATTCACAAAACAGGTATGTAAAAAAATGCAAGGTAATACATAGAGCTGTATATTTATAATAAAAATATACATCTCTCTTTAGATGTGATTTAGAGAAGAAATGGAACACTATAGCTGATCTCTCTGATTTCATACTGTTTGTCCTCTCCTTTCTCTCTCCTGCTTATGGAGACAGACACTCTGCCAAACTGGGTATGAAAATGTCTAGATCATTTCAATAATTCCTAGACACACGTGTGCACACACACAGTACAGTTTACTGTTTCATAAGTATGTAAATTCTGTCCGAATGAGTGTATTTTTCCACTTTGCTTTTGAGCCCTATTCAGACTGATACACTGATGTAATTCAGTTATTCATTTCAGCTGCCACGATACTATGGAGAAAAAGGTCCGGACATTACCCACCGGGGACTGACGGGCCGGTGGACAGCAGATTTCTCATCTGAAACTATGGTGGCCAGAAGGATGCAGCAGCACAGTATTATCCAAGATCTGAAAGAGAAGAAATGCCAGTCCTCGGTGCTCTGTCACCTGCTTATCTACCCCATGGAGTCAGCTTCCCTCGGGTCCCTCTGCACCTCCTGCGCCACGAGTCCATGGGCAGCTTCCCCCGGGTCCCTCTGCACCTGCTGCGCCACAAGTCCATGGGCAGCTTCCCCCGGGTCCCTCTGCACCTGCTGCGCCACGAGTCCATGGGCAGCTTCCCCCGGGTCCCTCTGCACCTGCTGCGCCACGAGTCCATGGGCAGCTTCCCCCGGGTCCCTCTGCACCTGCTGCGCCACGAGTCCATGGGCAGCTTCTCCCGGGTCCCTCTGCACCTGCTGCGCCACGAGTCCATGGGCATTTCGTGTTCCTCCGTTTCTGTGAAACACAACCACCGCAGGCTAACTGTGCTAAAAGGACTGGGTATCTGGAAAACAAATACGTGTTTTGGCTTCTCATATATTCTTAAATATTTGGGGACATATAAATTTCACTTTCACATAAATTTTAGTAGCAATCTGTTAACTTCTACAGTTACCCCATTGGAATGTTAGCTAGAACAAGTTATCTTTAAGATAGGATATTTTCCCATGAATAAAAATAGCATGCCTTCTCATCAGTGAGGGGTTTGCATACATGTCGAATGGCAGTTTTATTGTTACAAAGTTTCATACTTTTTTAGTTACATTTATTTCTAGAAACAATCACTTGTTGTTTATCCAAATGGTGTCAGTCTAAAATGCCTTTTTATCTTGTACCTCTCACATGCTGAATGTGATTTTTGCCAATTTACCATTTATTCTACATGTAACACACCCTAACACACACACACGCTCACACGCAGCCATCCAATTTTTCACCTAAGAAGTAGGGTTTTATTTTACGCTAAGAATACGATTGCTAGTATATGAGGTACTGCGAAACCATACAGTAGTGTGCAATATGTCACCTTCATCAGGCTCAAGAAATATGAGTCTAACTCCTTCCCCAAATGATTTCATTATATTTAGTATAAGATAAACACATTTTATTTACAGGATTTGCTTATTAATAGATCCTCTCGTTTACGTTAAAAATAAAGCAGAATTGAGGAAACACTTGTGGTCACAGTTTTGACGTGTATGTTGTTGCCATTTGTCACAACAAATGTGGGACTTGCTAGGAACCTGTGTGTTACAAAGCTTCCCTTAAATCTGCAAACAGACACAGCCTCCCATGAAGAACTCTGACCTCTCATATGGCAGCTGAGACTTTCTTTCACACGTACCAGGAAAAAAAATAGTGCTGCTTCTTTCCACCGAATCATCCCAGTAATTTTTATACAGCATCCAACATTTCCTAATCAACTCAAGGAAAAAAGAAACTGATTATAACCCTCTGGCTTACTCATCTTTCAATCACTGAATTAACAGGAGAAGCTTAGCTTCTGAGTCCGTGTTCCAACCTGCACTGAGTGCAAGGCAAGGACACTCAGCCTACCTCCCAAGAGGGAGCGGTGCAGGTTTGTACTCTTCCCAATTTTCTAGGCATGGTGATTTTTTAAAAAAATCTTGTTGTAATAATTTTATTTATTTACGGTGGAGAGATGCTATTTGCATGGAAGGAGCCTGTGGTTCCAAGTACAGTGTAAGCTTCAGTGTGGTACAGATGAAGTGTTTAGCTGTTGCTTTAAGAACTAATAACAATAAGATGCTGGACTTTATGCTAGGTATATGCTTGCAACGAAGGAATCTCAACTGAACTGGAACTGTGGTTATGCAGCAAGGTGGAGGAACCCACCATGGCGGGAGGGTTGTGGGAGGGGTGGGGGGAATCCCAGTGCCTATAAAACTGTATCACATAATAAAATAAGTAAATAATTTTTTTAAAAAAGAACTAATAACGGTTAAAAGTTAGTTTCAGAAGAGATCAAATAGCATCCCATAGCTGTTTCTTAGGAAAAACATACCATCAACTTGGTCATTCTTAACATTTTCTGCGTTGTTGCTGAAGTATTCCATGCTATATTCGAATTTACATTTGATGTACTCTGTCCCACTTGGTAACCCTCTTGGACAATAAAGATGCTACAAAGAATAAAGAAAAGCAGAAATCAGAAAGAAATACCTGCTAGGAGCATCTATTCTGTGCCTGGAGGCCTCATCAGTTGCAGTTGCAAACCCGCATAGGACAGCTAAGATCCTGAAGCAACTTCCATGAGTCTAGAAGACTGAGGGGGAGTAAGATTCGGAATCCAGTGCAGCCTTTCTCACCCAAGGATTTGTGTCACATGCATGTCAGAGGAACCGTGTTTGACACTCTTGCCAGTGGTGCTTGGGGTGTTTTATGAATTTGTGGGACCATCTTTAGCTGCCAGAATGCTTGGGAGTCATCGCTGGCATTTAGTGGGTGGAGGTCTGGAATTCTGTCTAGACCTGGTTCATTATTAAGACCATCTTCCACAAGAAAAAGCCAACTTGTATAATTGGGATATTTTAAATTCTCGGGAGAATATCATGGAAAACTGTCTGCTTATAATTTTTGCAGGGCTGAAGCTTAATTCCACTTTGCATATAAACAACAGGGGGGTTTTTTGGTAAATTTTAATATATTTGGATTTTTTTAAAGATCATGACTTAGTAAACCAAAAGACAATTATCATTTGTCTTGTTTGGAAATTTCCCAAGAACTATTCTCCATTTCAAAAATCTCTTTTCATTTTCACTGCTGTTCATGACATTGAACTTGCCAGAATCACCCTACGTGCATCCGTCAGTGCACAGCTGTAGCTGACACAGTTGTATCAGGATGTCAATTAGAAAGACAACATGTCTAGGAAGCTCAGTTCCTATTTCCTTCTCTTAGATACAGACATATTCACTACAAAACATTCACAGGCAGATGACTATTAGTCATTCCTATATAATTTTAAGATGTATTTATAATTTTTAAGATTTATTTATTTATTATTTTTTAAAGTCAGATAAACAGAGGGGAGGAGAGACAGAGAGGAAGATATCTGATCTGAAGATTCACACCTCAAGTGGCTGCAATGACGAGAGCTGAGTCAATCTGAAACCAGGAGCCAGGAGCTTCATCCAGGCCTCCCATGCGGGTACAGGGTCCCAAGGCTTTGGGCCATCCTCGACGGCTTTCCCAGGCCACAAGCAGGGAGCAGGATGGGAAGAAAGGATGCTGGGACATGAACTGGCACCCACATGGGATCCCGACGTGTAAGATGAGGATTTAGCCGCTGGGCTACTGTGTTGGACCCCATCCCAATATATTTTAATACTGCTGTTTTATCACGAAAGTTTCCTTTATATTACTAGATCAACAAATTGAAATTCCAGTGCATAAATGTGAATTAGTCTTATGAATTTCCACCAAGTAATTAATGGAATGGCTGGTTCCAAAAGAGCTAGAGAATCACTTCTTGGTAATGATGCAGATAACACCACTCTTGATGCTTGGAAATTTCCAGATTTTGAGACGGCTTAGGGGCCTGACACAGGAGCATAGAAGCCAAAGTCCTCACCTTGTATGCACCTGGATCCCCAGTTCCCGTCCAGGTTCCCTGCTTGTGACCTGGGAAAGCAGTTGAGGATGTCCCAAGGTCTTGGGATCCTGCGCCCATGAGGGAGACCTGAAGAAGCTCCTGGCTCCTGGCTTCGGACGGAGCTTAGCTCTGGCCATTGCGACGACTTGAGGAGTGAATCAGTGGATAGAAGATTTTTCTTTCTCGTTCTCTACTTTTCTCTGTAAATCTGATTTTCCAATGGAAATAAATGAATCCTAAAGAAAAGAAAGAAAGAAAGAAAAGCAAAAAAGGCAGCTTAGGTAGCGAGCAGCACCAGGATTTCAAGATTTTTAGGAGTATCCTGTCTGTCCTCCTGGGGTGGTTCCCCACATGATGGTTTCAAAACTTCACTCCAGTCAGGCCTATTTCTGAACTGGAATTCAGGAAACACATTTAAAGAATCAGCACGGACAATTACTATCCAATAACATACAGGGGTAAAAACATTCTGGACTTCTGGGTGAGTCCTTCACAATCTGTAAAGAGAGAACTGATAGACCTTTGTATTATGCTGATGTCATTTGGTTTATTATTTGTATCTTATAACAGTTTATCTGAATATAAATGATATACAAGAATTATATATACTTAAAGAGGACCATTTTTTTGGCATATGGATTTGTTATAAAATGATCACCACGCTCCAAAAATTCGCCTGTGTTTGAGTCTCGCACAGCTTTCCCATCACGTGCACTTGCCATGAACACGCCATAGTTGTGTCTGTTCTGGAATGTCCTACACAGACGCTGAGATTGTTAGCATGCTTGGCTGTTGTGAATGAGGACACACTGAACACGGACCTGCAGGTGTCTCTTTCAGACACTCACAGTATCCCCATCAGATGTGTATCCAGTAACCGTCTCATTGTGTCAGGTGGCAATTCTGTTCTATAGTTTGTGAGCTGGACTATGCCATAAACATGTAACAGCTGCCCTTTCAGGGGTGAAGAAAGCCCTGATTTATGACGTTTCCTAGCCTTTGTGATGTAAATACTGCCACCAAGGCAAATTCATGATAACAAACTCAACCGAACACACCCATCAAGCCAAGTGGAGGAGCAGAACAGGAGTTAAGGGTTGTATTTTTATTACCTTTAATATTAGCTACTTATGTATAGATTTATATAATCTGATTTTTAAACAAAAGCTGTGTTTTACAGCCAGCTCATGAGAGTCCAGACACTTGGCTGTTGGTTCTCATAGGAGCTGGCTCTTGGATCCTCACTCCGCCAGCCATCTTTCCACACGACCAGTCCATCCTTTTAGGTTTATGACATTAAGGGACACTGCATTGAACCACACCACATAGCGGTGTCTACTTGTTGTACTACGCAGCCGGGTGCGTTCGCAAAAAGAACGCGAATCCAGGCAGTGCCGAGCCGATGATCCGTGGGAGCACCACCAATGCCCAGTCTGCAGCATCCTCCTCCTGGAGGAAGGACTTCAAAGACGTTCACACAGCATGTGTGCTGCACAGATACGGAGTGTGTGTTTCAAACTCACTTGTACCCAAACTCATCTTAATTTTCCAATTTCCATGAACGTTTGTAATTACCCTCTATTACTACACACGTTACTGTTACATTCTCTCATATCAGTAATTTTACATTTTTCTTATATAAAAATGTCATTGGGTCTACAAAGTCTAACACTGACAAAGCAGCGTGTCACTGACATGATGGTGGCATGTGAAATGTTAGGATGAGCAATATATAATTTAAAAATCGTACGAAAGCCTTTGTTTGGAATTCTTATACTTTGTAAAAGTTCTTCCTAAGAATTTCTAATTATTCTTCT